CCTTGTTGGTGAGTTTCAAGATAAACTGTCGAAGACATAAGAATTCTAGGATAAAATAGGGTATGTGTAGATGTGGATATGGATTGAGAGAACGTTCACACCATTACCTACTCCAGTGCCCACATCCACAACTACACCAACACCCGCAGGTGCCCTCTTTCAATTGATATTATTTTTTGCCTATAGATACTTTTTAGTATTTCTAGTTAAACCCCTTAAAGGATTTGGGTTCCTGTCACTTTCTCCAAACGTTACGAACATTTTAATGTTACGCCTATTGTACATGACATATGTTTTGAGCCATCAACCGCGTTATAATAACAGATGAAAAATTTCCGTATCAGTTCATTCAAATAGATTGATTTTTTGAGTTACTCGTAGACGTTTATACAGTGTTTTTTTTCATACGGATAAGGTAAGCGAATACTACCACTACGTAGTAATTTTGATATCGTGAACGCAGTTTCATCTATTAAGAAATAAAAAAAATACATGCGTAACATTTCATAAATAATTTCCAATGATCATATTAAAGAATAATAAGAACAAATGAAGGATTCTGTATTAACACACATACATCAAGTTGTAGAAACTAGTTACTGTTGATGCTGATATTCATGTCTCAATAGTAAAATACGTATTTGTAGCTCTTGGAAATATTGCAACACTAACTTTCTTTCAAAAACCATTCTTTCATGCTTGCAATATCGAAGTTTTTTAATCTTTGATTTTTTTAAACTAACTATTCTTAAATATCTACTCTATGTGCAACAACACAGAATCATTTATGAAGTTCGTTTTGATTTGTTCTTCTTATTCTTTTATATGATCATGGAAAATTATAGATGAAATGCTACTCATGTATCCTTTTTTTATTTCTTAAGAGGTGAAACCGCTCTCACCAAATCAGTCTATTTGAAAGATTTGATACGGAAAATTTTCATCTTGTATTGTAACGCGGTTTGTGGTTCTAAATATATACAATCCACAAAAGGGACAACATTAAAATGTTCGTACTGGTTGAAGGAAGTGAAGAGAATTCAATTTCTTTAAGACATTTCATTAGAAATACTAAAGAATATCTATAAGCAAAAAACCATTGAAAGCGAAGGAGCGAAGACACCTAAAAAGTTCCCTCGTGAGGCCTTTGACTATTATCAATCTTTCCTTTTTCTTCATATTACTTTATTTTTGTTCGTTTGTATAAGAGCTCCGAATTTCTAGTCTTACTAAGCGAAATAGTGATATTTTTCTCATTACAAAATCCATTAAAAACTATTTATATTTCAACCTCTGTTGTAAGTTATTTGCTTTTTCTGTAAATCATATGCTGAATTATTGTCAGAATCAATAAAAA